ACAATTTACTTCTGGCTTTCATAATTTTAACCATAGGTTAGGAAGGAAGCAGGAAGGAAACAAGTATTAAGTGCCTACTTTGTGCTAGGCACTGTGCTAAAACACTGTACAAATACTATTTCATTTCTCACAGGAACCTTGGGTGGTGGGTACTATGATTATTTTCCTTTTACAGTTGAGGAAACTAAGGTAGCAGAGGTTAAATGACTTGTCCAGGGTCCTGCTGCTACTAAGTGTTTAGGATAGATAGGATAGAACTCTGCTCTGTGGAAGTTGCCATGATAGTTGTATTATCTGTACTTGATACTTTTGTATGTGACTGCTTTTGGCAGGTTGAGGACTCAGAGGAGATCAGTTAGATGGGGAGGAAGAGAGGTTATAGCAGAGGTGGTACAGTTTAGGCCCTGGTTCCTTCCAGAAATGGCCACTGTGCCCAATAGGTACCTGTTGGTTATTTGCTCCTAAGCTGCTTTCCTCTGTGACATATTTGTTGCCACCTTAAACTGGCAGCTCTTATGAGTAATCTTGGGCAAGAGGCCTGCCCAGGTTGCTCCTGGGCTCTGTTCCAGCTTATCTTTAGTTTATCTTTATCCATCCCAAGTCACTTGATAGTTGAGTCATGACATGGCAGTCATTTTGTCCTGAAGAAAAGGGTACTACTCTGAAGTAGGGAAAAAACAGTTTTGCCCTCCAGGAAGGATAGTGAGTCCTGATTGTGCCATATGTGCTATGAATGCCTTGACCTCTTTGAAGAATAATGTAAATGAGAATTATTATTGATTGAGATTATTCTCTTTTAGTTTTGTTGTGCTTGTGGGCACTTTATTAAAATAACTTCCTTCTCTTTCTGAGTTTCACCATCTTAGTCTTCTTGGAGTTGGCTTTCAGCAAACCAGATTTCATAACATGATTACTAATTCCATATAGTTCAAGCCAAGAAAACCTCCCAGTAAATGCACTTCCTTTGTATGGCATTTCTTCTGGGTAATTGTTTTAGATTTTCTTATCCATTTGGAAAAGGGTAATACTTTCAGAGCACTTGGGATTCTTTCTGAGGGGTCACACCATAGTTTCTAGGAGTTATTAATCACTTTGGTACAAGACCTAACCTAATTTCCAGGCTTCCCAAATTGGTGTAAATACCATTTTGGCTATGGGTCAGCACCAGTTGCCAAAACTCTGAATTTCTTCTCTCTTATGGAAGCAGCAAGAGAAATATTTTCTAGCTGACTGGTGAGCAATCTTCTTCTGGAGAGGAGGAGAAAATGCTTGTTTAGCACTTAATTACCTGTTATGTTAGACAGCTATGAAACTTATGAGGCATGAAAGAAGAATGGGTCCCCCTCCCCCAGTCATCAGGCTGGAAACCAGGTGACGGGAGTCACAACACATCAAAGAGCAGGAACAACTTTTTAGGGTGTCTTTACTTGAATTTCCCTTTTTGTTTTGTGTTGCTTAATCCTAAGAAGCTCCCTCACTCAAGCAGCCTGTTGCTTTCTCTAGTCTGTTGGTCCTGGACTTGTCCTGGTTAGTGTTCTATATTCCTCTTTCACAGGTGCCGCCTTCTTTCAACAAACATCTTTTCTATTTTTTTCTTATGACTCCCCAGCAAAGACCAGCTTTTTGTATGCCTCTGACTGGTTAGTGTGAAGTGTGGTGCTTTTATTCCTTCGTGTTAAGGCTGATTTATTGCTGCCTACAGGCCCCAGTTAGACAAAATGTATTATTTTAGAAGGATTAAGACTCTGACAAGATAACTTTCCTTTAATGCATTTCATGGTGAAGAATAATCCATGTTCCTTTGCCAGCATTTTTGCCTCAGTTTTCTTTATCCCTTATATTACTTTGCATCTTTTTTCTCTTCTAAATCACCATAGAAGTATGCAGTAGAGCCTGGCAAAGGAAATATACATGTATATCTTACTTTTGGGGGGCAGTAGGAAAGTTGAGTACTATATTTATTTTCACTTTAAGGCATAAAAATATATAGGAAATCTCTTACCATGCCATTTCTCTTTATTATCTCATCTCAAATTTTTTTATTTTTGTCATTCTATTATTTTATTAGTATACAATGGGACAATATTCTAAGCTCATCTAATACAGATTCATATTGGCTTCTTTTCAAGAGACAAGTTTACATCTAGTTTGAAGAAAGCAGTAGATTGTAGAATGGACTCTTCTTTCATACATAGATGTTGTCTCAGAAGACTGATTTTCAATATGTGCTGTCTTGGCTTCAACTTGCCATGATGAATTTTGCTGTTAAGTTTGATTGAGTAGGCTTTAATATAGGTAATTATAAGGCCACAACCACGTTTGGAAGTACCCAGAATATTAACACTGCCATTGCATATCCAAAGGATTTAAAAGGACAGTTTTACCCTCCCAGTAGGTAAGAGGATTCACAGCTCCCATAAGCTGCTGAAGGAAATGGCCTTCCAACCAGCCGTTTCCCCTGGCAAACACTGAACATAATTTACATAGCTTCCTTCTAACTCAGCCTGAACTCTTGTCCTGCCTGGCTCTTAGTTTTGAAACAGCAGAACTGTGAAATGCTGGCAGTCCTGTTCCTGGCCTTGACGCTCTCCAGGCTACAGAGGGGAGACGGCAGGATAATGGAAGAAGAGGAGCTGTGAGCTGCTGGGGCTTCAGCTCCTGGTGTGTTCAGTTTAAAGATGTCAGTGAGAACCTCTGCTCATGTTTTTGCCAAATCAGCTGACAGTGGTTCTCAGAGCAGTCCTTATGTAGAGTTTACCTTTTTTTTTTAGTCCATACTAGAACCTTCTCCATCCTGAGCTCTGGAAAGATAAAGGGGCTTCATGTACACATACAAATTGCACACAGCTTAACATCTGATTCATCCAGTGATAAGGCTGTGCTAAATGAAAGCTGTGGTCTTATCAGAGCAAGATCTGCAGCATTCTGTGCTGAGAGCTATGATATGTGGGCAGAACCCACAGTAACCAAGAGCACCTCCTACCTCCTGCAGCACATTGCTTATCTATCGTGTGCAGTAGAGTTACTAAAGAAGATTGTAAAATACTGACTTTCGAAGTTTATGCTGCTTTCAGAGAGGCAGCATGGGGTAGTGTAGTGGTGTCAGATAGAAACAGATTCCTTTGGGCTGCATGTTGACTTAGAAGACCACAGATTAACATTATCTGTACTACATTATATTTTTATTTATTAAACATTTCTGAATTATATTTTAATCTGGTTTGCACTCCAGAGTTTTGTGGGTCTTGAGTTTGACACTCTGGTGTAGTACATGAAGTGCAGTATTTGGAGTCAGAAATGACTTGGATTCAGATCTTCCCTTTAGTACTAGCTGAATAATTATGGGCCTCTAAGTTTCAGTTTTCTTATCTCTAAAAATAAAAATAACAAAACCTGAAATACCTACCTTATAAGGCTGTTGTGAGGCTCAAATGAGAGAATAGGAAGCAGGGCTATATGAATGCCAGATATTGTTATCTATGAATTGCAACAGAGTATTTCTGTGGGTACATCCTGGCAGGTGAATAAAAGTAGAATTTTATTTCAAATGGTTAAATTTTAATCTATAGAAATAGAAAGCCTAATGGTGGCAACTAAGGAATTGACTTTTCTGCTCGTGGAATCTTCCCTATTTTGCTTGTGAGTTTTACTGGTTGAGTTCAGCAAAAAGAATATGTGGCTAGATGGGTACTCATGAAATGCTAGGACAGCTCCAGAGAAATGTTTCACCGACTCCAGCTGTTGCCTTGAAATGTGATTGAGTGATCATTAAGTTTTATTCTAGTGTCATTGACTCCCAGAGTAGAAGGAGTAAGAGCCATGGTTGCTCATAAAGATCTAGTTCTCATTGGTGATGTGAAGCAGGATTCTAAACCATTTTCACAGTTATTTTTTTAGGTCACCTTTTCACCCTCACCAAGACTTGATTGCATCCAAAGTGACAGATTTTTGCATGTTCATCCCTTTCAGAATGAATCTTCTTTCTGTTAAGTGATGGAAGAGCTCTGTTCACTCTTTCTGGCAAAATTTCCTTAAGATATTTTCATTTTCTTAAGAATTTACAGTGCTTTATTCAGTTGAATCCAGGAAGTACTCAGGTTTCTGAGGTGAATATAGTTGGAAACCTGTAAGTTTTCCAGGGCCAGCTAGGTGTTGCAGTGGATAGAATGATGGGCCTGGAGTCAGGAAGACCTGATTTCAAATCAAATTCAGCCTCAGACACTTACTGATTGTGTGGCCGTGGGCAAGTCACTTAACCCTGTTTTGCCTCCATTTTCTCATTTGTAAAATGAGCTGGAGAAGGAAATGGCAGACCACTCCAGTATTCCCAAATGAGGGCTGTAAGAGTCAGATGCAACTGAAATGACTGAACAACAACAACAAAGATTCCCAACTCTGGATTGTTGGTTTTTTCCTAAAAGTCAGTTTTGATTTGTCTTCTGGGAAGATGCCAAGTGTACTTTTGATGTAATTGTTTTGTATATTTCCTGTAATAGATGAGAATTCAAAGATTAAAGGCTTTATACTCTTAAGTATAGCACTACCACTTTGGGAGAGATTAAGGTTTCATTTTCAATTTTGTCCTTGCTGTGTCCTTGTTTTTCTCTGCTTGCCTATCTGTGAAATGGGGAGATGATTTACTACCTGTCACCTGTCTATTTGGTAGCATGTTATCAGTATTGATGAGGTATAGTCTATAGAACATTTTGAGTTTCTTGAAGAAAATGTTAGAATATTTTATTTTTAAAAAATTTTATTTCATTTATCTATCTATTTATTTATTTATTTTTTCCTTTTTAGGTATTTGGGGTTAAGTGACTTGCCCAGGGTCACACAGCTAGTATGTGTCAAGTGTTTGGTCTGAGGCTGGATTTGATCTAAGGTCCTCCTGATTTCAGGGCCAGTGCTATATCCACTGTGCCACCTAGCTGCCCCTAGAACATTTTAAATATCGTCCCATCTAGCCCAACTCCTTGGATTTTTATATTTATATTTTTCAGTACCCAGACCTCAGTCAAGAATCTGATTCTCCGTTTGTCTTCATCTGCACAAATCCCCAAGAAATGATCCTGAAGTTTCCTATCAAAGGAAAACACAAAATCTGTAAGTCTGTTTCTAATATCATTTCATTTCTAAACTTTTGCATTATGACTATTTAACCTGCCCTGCTCCTGGTGCTGTTTGGTGATTACTTAGTGAATTAATAGAATTATACCTATATGTTATATAGTTGTCTTAATATTAAGTTCAGTGCCGTGTAGCTTTTTCTTCCTTATCCATGAGCATAGAGCATGACCTGACAGAGGGGATCAATCTAGTGTCAAATATTCTCTTTTCCTAGAGATGTCTTAAGACATTAACATTTATGACTCTTCCAACAAATAGAAGCCCAGTTCTTCAGTCCAGAGAAGAGACCTGAATATATTTGCTTCCAATCAGCCTGGAAAATAAAGCATTAAAGAAAGAATTACAGCAGTTCAATAATTTACTTTTTGTTCCTCAGTGTTTTCTCTGACTCTGACTTCTGAAGACCTCCTGTGACCAGTTTAATTGTTCTTTCAGAGCATGAGTGTCATCCCCTTTTCACATTTCCCACTGACAGTGTTTTTCCTGGGGCCATTTCTTGGATCCTGTTTCTTTCTCTTCTCCCACTCTGGGTAATCTCTTCCTCTCTTGTGATTGCAGTACTTGATACACAATATATCCTTGTTAATTTATTTTTTTCCGTTTTCAACTTCTCCTTCATCTCCCAACCTCTCCTTTTTGATCCAGCACTTCAGCATTCTCTGCTTTTGGATATTTCAACATAAATTTTTATCTACAAGCCCTGTGAAAATGTGACAAAGATTTGCCTGTATTTTCTCCAGCTATCCTCTCAGTTTAACTTATTAGTTATTATGGTTTATCACCACAGGAGACAGCTAGGTGGTGCAGTGGATAAGAGTACCAGGCTTGGAATCAGGAAGACCTGAGTTCAAATTTGGCCTCAGACATTCACTAGCTGTGTGACCCTGGGCAAGTCACTTAACTTCTGTTAGCCTTACTCCACTGGAGAAGGAAATGGCAAACCACTCCAGTATCTTTGTCAAGAAAACCACACATGAGGTCATGAAGAGTTGGACATGACTGAACCACTGAACAACAGCAAATGGTTTATCACTAATTTATTGATCAACTGAGATGATACATATAAAGTACTTTGTGAAACTTAAAGAATTATATGTGTCAAGTATCTTTATTATCATTACCATGTTACTGCTTTCTCAGTTGTTTAGAAAGTGGTTTTGAAAAATTGGGAGTTCATGCTATACCAGTTAACTAAGCTCTGTTCATCATTACAAACTGTACTCCAGAACTGAGCTAGCCATTTCATGGATGTGTTCCATTGGTCTCCATATGGACTGTTTGGAATGTGTGAATGAATTAATTCACTTAATTGTCAGATTAGGAGACCTTAATCATTCAAAGGGCATGCACCCTAGAGACCCTTAGGAAAACAAATGTATCTATCTTACATGGGAACTACCACTCCAGACAGCTGCCATAAGGAAGAGGTGGCCAAAAGGGCTGCTTTTCTCCCCACTGCTTAAGCTTGATATTTTCTTATACCTTCCCTGCTTAAGACCTCATTGCTTTCTGAGACTGCCTATCTCGAAGCCCCTATTTGTACTTCTTACTTCACCGTACTCAGTACCAATCCATGGTATGGTCCTCTGAGTATATAGCAGCAGGACTGGTTATGGTGAGGGATAGGGATGGGGAATGCTAGCTAAGGAAACTTCATTCACCAGCTTCTTCCTTGTTTCCCACTATTGCTGATCCCCAGAGGATGAAGCTGAAATTGGTCTTGTCACGAAGACCATAGTGCCTAACCCATTTATGGAATTGTAGTACTGTTTCCCGCCATGTGTAACAATGTTTCTTTGGAGAAATACCTTCAAAAGACCAAAATGACATCCAGAAATACATCTCGTCTTACTAGAATTAGATCTGGGACTCTTTTTTCCTTTCTGTTCTGAAGGGGATGGAGATGATTTTTATTTATTTTTTTAAAATTTTATTTATTTATTTGGTTAGGCAGTGGGGTTAAGTGACTTGCCCAGGGTCACACCATTAGTGTCAAGTGTTTGGTCTGAGTCTGGATATGAACTCAGGTCTTCCCGACTTCAGGGCTGGTGCTCTATCCAGTGCACCACCTACTTGCCCCTGTTTACACTTTCTTAAAGAGCTTTTATAGACATTACACAAAACACCTAGTAGTCTCTTGAGCACAGTTTGGGCAACATCTTTTTACAGCATTATTTCTCTAGGAAAATGCTTTGAGATATAAACAAGTAAGTTATTGACATAGTAGTTCACAAGTTGGGGACACTTTGTACTGCTTTGCTTTGATAATAAAGACATCTCCCTCATTTGCTGTCCTGCCATTTACTTTTAGCTACTGTGATTAAGGTTATATTTAATACTGAAATACTATATCATAATTTAAAGTATTCAGAGAGTGCAGCTGAGCTGGTACAGCATAAATATCTGAAGCTTCAAAGAGTTAAGTTTTCTGGTATGAGAAAAAAATCTCCAAATTCGTGCTCTACTGGTAGAAAGTTATCTTCAAATACGAAGGAGAGCACATGATGGTTTTACTTTTAAATAAGGAACCTCATTCATATTTATGTTCTTCACTTCCCTAAAACTTAACCAGTTCCCAAATTCTTCCAAAAATTTCTCTTTCAAGAACTTTGATTTGAGAGGATGCCCATCAATTGGGGAATGGCTGAGCAAGTTGTGGTATGTGAATGTAATGGAATACTATTGTGCTATTAGAAATGATGAACAGGGTGACTTCAGAAAAACCTGGAAAGACTTATATGGTCTGATGCTGAGTGAAGTGAGCAGAACCAAGAGGACTTTGTACACAATAACAGCCACCTTATGCAATGACTAAGATTGTTAAACTGAACCCTTCTCAGCATTAACGAGGATCTAAGACATCTGCAGAGGCCTTGGGATGGAAAATGCTGTCCACATCCAAAGAAAGAATTATGGAAGTTGAATCACTATCACTTACTTTTACCTTCTGTTGAGTTTTGTTTCATCTTTCTGATGGTTCCTCTTATTGGTTTTAATTTTTACTTTCAACTTCACTAATGTGAAAATATGTTTAATGGCTATGTAACTGAGGGTGGAGGGGAGGAAGGGGGAGAAAAATTTTCAACTCAAAAGTATATGGAAGTGATTGTTGATAAATCAAAATAAATTAATAAAATTTAAAAAAAAAGAATGTAAGCACATAAAAATATAAGGCAAAAAAAAGAAAAGGAAATACAATGACATCCCCCCCCAAAAAAAGAACTTTGATTGCTCCAGTCTACCCTTATCAGCTCTGAATTTCATGACCCAATACCAAATCTAATGATTATGACAGCTTCCAAATTTTCCATCTTTGGTGCTTTGTTCCACTGTAATTGAACTAACCACAACTTGTGGCTTCATAAACTGCTTGAAATTTACTGAAACAAGTATTTGGAACTTTATAATGCCTTTTGTGTGAGGTTCTTAAAGGCAGTTAAGCTTTAGGGAAAATCCTCCTACTAAATCCTCCTGCTAATCAACTTTTGAGATGTGGAATCCTCAATATAAAGTGGTTAATTGATGTGACCATGTTGATGTGGTAAATTAGAGGTAAAGCTGAGATCATACCTTAGGTGCAAAATTCCCAGGCTTCAGCAAGTCACAGGAGGCATTCTAGTTTTTTGGTTGTTTTTATCATAAGAGCAGAGTATTGTAGGTCAAGAACTCTGCATTGAATTCCAGATTTAGGCTGGGTCACACTACCTCTTTTTTCTTTTTCACCATCTCTGAATTGAGGAAGAGTTTATTTTTGACAGACCCTCAAATGGAAAACAACATCCTCAATGATTAAGATAATAATTTTCCTATTTATAATGAGTTAAAAAAAAGTACAAATTTTGTATCTGGTTCATATCTTCCCCCTCCACACTAAGTTGCTAGGTTTTCTGTTTGTTTTTTGCCCAGATATCTTGGGGGTATAATAATTCCTCAGTCTCTAGTTCTGTCCTAGAAAAGATGAAGGAAAAAAATATATGATTCTAGAGGAGTCATCTTAAAACAGGGAAGTTTATTATGCTTAGGAATTTAATATCTCAGGTTTGTACTTTTCAAAGTCACATTCACATTTATCACCTCACAACAACCATGCCAAGTATGTGAAGCCTATATTATTATCCTTATTTAACAGATGATGAAACTGGAGGTGTGTAAAAGTTAAATGAGGTCACATAATCAAGTGGCAGAAGTAGGACTGGATAGACTACAGTTGTTTGGATTTTAATCCGATGCACTTTCCAGCACCTAACACACATTGATCTTTTGTTTGATAAGGAACATAGATGCATAACAGTGTGTGCCTCTGGGATTTGAATACACCTGTATGCTCTAGGAAAATGGTTCCTTTGATTTCTCCTTTAGTCAGATACCACTGAGCCTTTTTCCCCCCTATTTATTAAGTTAAGACTTACCATTTAACTGGATGTGACTTTGCATAGGAGAAAGTAAGCTGAACACCATTTTCAGAACAGAAAGACAGGAACCTTGTTAAGATGGTTGTCACAGTGTGACCCCAAGACTTTCTGATGCTGAGTTAAAGCCTGTGGTTTTTCCTTTTGCCCATGGAGGTTGCTTGTTGGGAAGACAGAGGCTAGCTACATTAGTGACACATTTCTCATTAGGGTTACCTGGGAAGGCAGGTGTTGGTTTTTTTTCCCCCTGAATTTTAAACTTAGAAGAATCCCAGAGCCTGTGAACTCTGCCCTTCTTAGCCAGTGATAGGGGCCCTTTGTCAGTAGAGCATTCATGCAGTTTCTGCTCTACTGTTTGAGGTCACTGCCCCTATTGAGCTCTGAGGCTGCTCTGGGGGTGAGAAGAACTGCTCCTCTCACTGTGGGGGATATTCATGCATCACGCCTAGCCAGTTAGCAGGTCCAGCCTTGGGTATCCCACTGTGTGAAGGGCCATTCCTTTATTACATATGTGTGTTGTGCTCACATCAGATACCCTGAAAAAGTGATAGGTTCTTTTTTAGTAGCTGTGAAATGAGAGACTTTACTTCTTATCTTCTTTGGCAGATACTCACTGGATTTTTTTTTTATGTCCTACACAATGCTTCTGCCTCCTTCAATTCCTATATAATGGAATTCTAGAATTTGGAAGTAAGTGTCTGATTCCTGAAGCAAGATAATTGAATGTGCCAGGAACAGGGTAACTAGGAGACCTGTGGGTCTGCAATAGATTTGCATTGCAAATATAGTTTTAAAACAATGACATTTCTTTATTCTCTTTTACAGGGAAACTGGATTCCAAGATCCATCAAGGAGCAAAGAAAGGGTTAATGAAGCAGAAAGCCACTGTCTGACTGAGAAAAGGAACCCACACTTTGCTAGTGGAGGATCCAGAGTTGTGTGCTTGCTTTGAAGTGGAGGCAGTAAAAATCTCCAGGCTGGACTTAAAGCATTGACTCTCTCAGAATATAAACTCTTAACAAACTGTCATAAGTTCTTGGGAATGTGTGGAGAGGGGGTGGAGGGAAGATGCTGTCTTCACACAGTGGGTTCAACCTTGTGTACTGTTTATAAAAATAATTTTTAAATTTCAGGTCTTTGACAGTTTTTTTTTCCAGAAAAGGACTAGAAGAGCATAAGTGAGAAAACTTTCCCTTAGCTTCAAGTTGTGTTCCATTTGGTAGATTTTGTTTCTTGGGAAAGCAATTATTTTAAAGGTCTCCTTAGATAGGAAAGAGTCTTTTTTTCCTAAGTCAGTCAAGAAATATAGATTAAGCATCTACTCTGTGCCAGGTACTGTGTTAGGCCCTGAATTTACAGAAGTAATCTAAAGGGATAGATGGCAAATCTCAAAATGTTCAAGGGAGCCTCTGGCTAAAACAGGCTTGGGATAGGACCAGAATATCAAAACAAGTCATTACCAACAATTCTGTCTCCTTTTTTAAACTGATCAATCCAAAAAGTGAGTCAGCTGGTCGTTGGCCTGAATTGACTCTGGCACGCTCTCTTTCATCCCTTCCCCCCTTCCCTCTCTTTCTTTCTTTCTGTATCCCTCTACTTTTTTCTCCCTGCCAAAACCCTATGGAGCCGATTGCTACTGCATAACTGCTATATAGACCTGACAATTTGACAACCTTCCTTACTCCGTTTCTGTGAAAGAAAAAAAAAGTCTTCAACAAATGCATCCAAATGTCCCCAAATACTGAAACTAAATCCTCATTTACACTCTAGGGAGCCCAGTGGAAAAAAGCACTGGACCAGGAATTAGGAAGACCTGAGTTCAGATATGGCCTCAGACACTTAATAGCTATGTGACTCTGGGCAAGTCATTTAACTTATATTTGTCTCAACTTCCTCATCTGTAAAATGAGGATAATATCAGCATCTATCTCACAGGTTGTGGGGATCAAGTGAGATATTTGTAAGAAGCCTGGCACTTGGTAGGTGATATATAAATGCTTAATCTCTCCCCCTCTGGAAAGTTATGTGCTTTGAAAAGCAAAGGGTATAACTGAAATATGATTATTACTAGTTCGTCAGGCCCCACTTAGGGAAACATTTTATTTCTGAAGCAGTTCTAGGGTGCTGTTAGAATCTCAGTTCCTGCTTCTCGAGGAAACTCACAGCCTTAAAATATGTATGTTCTGCTTTTTATAAAGCTATGGCATCACTGGGGAAGTTGGATTCCCTCCAGGAGTTGTGTGCATGACTTAAAAAAAAAAAGGGAAAAATTACCCTGTGTTATGAATAAGATTAATTTCCCCTTTCTTTAATCCTTCATATTCAGCGTTTATTTGCATTGAAATGCCTACACTCATTATGCATTGATGTTCACTCAACTGTGAACCCTGCTTGCTGCATAGGTCTAGGCACTGGTTCTACTTGGCCTGAGTGTTACTGATTCCCAGGCAAAACCTACCACATATTAGCTCATGATGGGAACATGGAATAGTCCTTGCTCTCTTGTTTTAACCTGCACGAGAAACATAGAAAGGATAGCACTTCTAAAAAATTACATATTGGCCTCACGAAGGCAACAGTGCTATTAGCAAATGAAACTAGACTGAGTTCACTAGGCAATTGACAAGTCTATCAGACAGAGGCATCCTGTATTATATGCTAGATTTTGTCTAGTTTTTTTACTCAAAATGCACAGAGAAGGTAAGGATTTTCTGCCTTTTTATTTGAGTACAGAAAGGATTGGATTGATATCTCCACTTATAATGTCCAGAGGTCTCAAGAAAAGTAATCAAAAACTGCTAAGAAGTCTGTTTATACAGCCTTTCCACGTGCTAAATAAGGAGCTGGGCTAGGTGGGGCAGTTGCTAGGAGAATGATGTGGAAAGCTAACCTTTAAAATACAATAATAGAGTTTCATTCCATTTGGGGTTTGGGGTGGGGGTAGGTTGGAAGGCAGGAAGGAGAAGGAAGAAGTGGTGGAGAAACTTGTTGGAGAAATGATTCTCAGCTTCTGTGTGATAAAAGAACATGATTTAAAACATGGTGTAGCTCTTTTACAGCTTGTATGCTAGACTCACCATGGACTGGTCTTTCAGTGTTCTATAACATTTCACACTGACCTTATAATTCAGGGACAATTTGGATTGGGGGACGTTTGACATTTCTGAGCTGATTTGCAGTTGCAGCCAAAGTGATTGCGCCCCCTTTCGGCTATAACTGGGTCATTTAATAATCTTGTAGCATCTGAAGGTGCTAGTCTAGTTTTCTTTTTCAAAATTGAATTTCCTTTTGTTTATTCCTTCCCCTCCTCCTTCCAGTTCCTAAACCACAATTATTTGCATGCTCCAAAGTTGCTTATGCATGATAATGGAGGCTACCCCTAAGGCCCCAAGATAATTTGGCTTTGAGTTAGCTGTTCTGAAGAGGGAAGGAAATTTGCTTGTAAGAAAACCAATTTGAAGAAATGGATGTAGCTTTCTCTCACAGTCTTTTAACTCAGAAACAGCTGGAAACTTCAAGAAGTCAACAGGAGAGCAGGTGTAAAAATTTGAGTCCCAAGGTTGATTTTCTTCTGGGACATTACAAATGAATTATACTCAAAAATCCCTTTACCTTTAACCTCCCTCTTTTATTAATTCCTTTTTATATTTAAGACTTTAAAATATACCCTTGCCAGAGCCCCGAAGCCAGAAATATGGCAAGTAGCTTGGGGCTGTTCTGCCTATCCTGAGAATGGCCAACAGAAAGAAAGCATCCATTATGCTGGAGATCTGTAAACTTCAGCATCTTATAACCGGGGGAGAAAAGAGAGCCCAAAGAATTTTTCTATTCCCTGGGATTCCAATGGCAAGTGCATATTTGCTGCTCTGAGCCTGTGAAAGTGCTGGTGGGGGCTCTGTTGGAAGATAACATAACACTCAGATTCCACAAGTTTAAGAAAGCTACCAGCACATGGGAGAGCTTTTTAGCCCCAAAAGGCTAGAATGCAGTAGATGGCACAGTGGTAGGGCCATCTGCCTTCACAAAGGATATTGTGTGGGTATGTGTACATCTCTATGTGTTTGCGCGAACCATTACTCAAAGAGCAAAACTTTAGTGTGTATGAAATCCTGTCACTTTCCCTAACTATATAGAAAGCAAAGGCTTAGAAAAGTTGGTTAGCCAGATTTTGAAGAAAATGGGGGGGGAGCGTGGGGGAAGAAAGGGTGTGTCAGTTTAACAAGAAAGGGTGGAGCCAGCCTGAGGGATGTGGCCAAAGAAAAGGGGACAAATGGGGGTGGGGTGGGGAATGGATGAGACCAGGCAGGAAATGCCCCTGGAAAATGGAAATAAAAAAGCCTGGTTTATTAAGCAAATAGAACTCTTTAAATAAGAGCAGAGGATTACAATGAAAAGAAAGGGAATGGGGCTGAGAAGGAACAAAAGGTGTCTGAGGCATGTGGAGGAGGGGAATAAACGAGTTAGAGGGTGCAGCAAATTAAAACCCAGAAATGATTTAAGTAACACAGGACACCTAAGCACCTTAAAATGGGGGTAGCTAGTTTTACCTTATAGCGATTCACATTTATTTAGAAGTTTTTGCTGTAGAGAAAACTGAGGGAAGGAAATTTTCTTTCCCTCCTCAGTTAAGCTTATGTTTCTTTAACTTTGTCCTCTGTAGGATTAGATTTCATTTAATTTTTGAATTATTGAATAACATTTTTCTAGTAGTGCTATGTTGCTTAGTAACTTTAATGTAGCATGCCTAACGTCTTGATAAAAACATATTTATTATAAGCCCAGTATTATTCTCAGCCCCAGAGATCAGTTTAGCTTTCTGCAAATGGTGGATGTCAGTGCCCATTTTCAGACCAAAGAACAATTTAGTCAAAGAAAAATAACTGTTTGCCAGTTATTCAGATTGGAGGATCTATAAAAATGGGAGAGAGTTAGATTAGATGATCTCTAAGATCCTTTCCCATTCTAAATATGATCATATGAGGTTATTATTATTATTTTTTAATGCTAAGAGTTAGGCCTCCAATCTATCTGGGCCAAGGTTAGATACCAGTTTTGTCACATAGTTAGACACTCTCTTAAGTCCTTTCTTCCTTCTTCAGTGTGGAATAGTGGATAAAATACTGAATTTGATTCAAGAAGCTGTGTTCCAATGTGTAACTTCAGATGTATGACCATGAGCAAGTCATTTAACTTCTCTAACCTAAGTCCCTTATCCATATAGTAGCACCTATCTAACAGGACTGTTAAGTTGAAATGTGATTGTGTAAAGAAAGGCTTTTTCTGAATCTCAAAGTGCTACATAAATATCAACTAATATTACTTTTCTAAGTTTGGTGCTTATACAGCTGATTCAGACTGCACATTATAGAATCACATCCCGTGGTAGCTAGTATCGGGGATAAAGTTTGTTCCACCGTAGTCCAAGAACAACCAAAGGGGAGTCATGAAAATTCTGAACTCAGTTCTAGTTTTGGGCATTCGCCCAGGTTCTGGGTTGTATTTCCAAGTCATGTGTTATCCAGAGTGTGAGAGACTACTGAGTGCCTAGAGATAAAGGAAGAAAGGGAGGTCACCGAGGCTGAGAGGAGGAAAATAGGCGAGAATCCAAGAAGAGATACAGGCCCTAGTTAAATAGTAAAGAGTAGGGAGCCTCCAAGATAAGGATAAATTTCCATTTGATATGGAAAATGGGGAGGGAGCCTTAGTGAAGGTCATGAAGAGGTCCAGAAATAGAAGGGTTAGGAAAGGACAAGATTACAACAGTTTTAGGCATAGAGAATAGGAAGATGGAATTTGGGTTATTTTGAGTTGCAGAGAAGAAAGAGAAACATCAGGGTTTGGTCACCTTTGGGTTAGGGAGAAGGGACTGAAATTCCCCCAGGGAAATAGATAGCAGGTTTTATTCTTCCCATTTTAGAGATAAGGAAACTAAGGCTCTGAGAAAGACTAGAAGCCCAGGTTCTTTGCCTTGGGCTAGGCTTTAAATGTGACAGTCTTTCCAAATCACCCAGTGAATGATGCCTTTATTTTGGGTCTCCGGCTTTGTCCCTACTAGGGCTTTTTTTCTCCTCCTAGGCTGTTGCTGATCAATCAATAAACATTTGCTAAGCCCTAGCCACAGTGCTGGCTTCC